CCCTGCCCCCATAGAGGCCACATTCCAATGGGGGTAAGTAGGCACCAGGGCATGGGGGAGGGGGGCAGATTGGGGGGAAATACCATACTATACCTTCCTATGAAGGGAAATGCATGTTCTCACACTTTTTTAATTATTTTTTAAGCTGACAGATGAAATTATATGTGTTTATTGTGTAAAGCATGACATTTTGAGTCTATATACATTGTGGGATGACTAAATCTATATAATTTAACTTTTTTTCCTACTATAAACTATGTTGTAATAAATAACTTTGTTCACACTTTCCTCATTACTCATGGGAACATTTCTGGGATTTAAATTCCTAAAGCTGAAATTGAGTCAAGGACTACGGGATTTTAAAAATCGGACAGATATTATTAAATTTCCTTTCAAAAGGTTATGTCATTTTATAGTCCTACAAACAGCACATAAAGTGTGTTTTCCCTCATGCTTATTAAAAAAAAATATTTTTAATTCTGTCAGCCTTAATGTGCTCGTTTCTTTTACTTTCAGAGTTTACTTTGGGCTATTTACATTTCCTCTGAAAGTCATACACATGCTTTAATTATTGTTTTTCCTATTAGGTTCTTTTTGGGGTTTTCTGTTTTTGTTTTCGCCATAAGATATGTGTGTTAGCTAAAGAGAGACAGAGGGAAAGTGATTAATCACTCCTAGGGGGGAAATGGTCAAACCTCAGTCCCTTCTTCATTCTCTTCTTGGGATTTTGGGCACACACACATGTGCTCGGCGTGTTTTTCAGGCCACTGGGCCCCGGGACTTGAATTGCAGAGTTGGCCATATGGGACCTAGCACCTTAACCACCAAGCCACCTGGCCCAGGTTCTTTCTTTCCTTTTTTTTTCTTTTTTCCTGTGTAGGTGTTATTAACTCTCTGTCACATTAAGTATAAACATATTTCTAACAGTTTATTACATGTACTTAAACTTTTATTCAATTTGTCACCAAATAAAAGCTTTCATCATTATGTTGTCACATAGGCAGATCTTTCTGGTTTCAAAGATTTCATTGTTAGGCATATAAAGGTTCTTGCCAATACAGTAATTGTTTTAGAAGTCAATGATATTTTCTTCTAGTACATTTAGAGTTTTATCCTTCCTTTCAATGTTTATCATGGTAAATCTAAAGTGAAGGAGCACAAACCAGATAAACAAACCAGCAACAAAATAGCATTATTTCTTTTTATAACACACTGATTATAGCTTACAGATAGATTATTTACCTCTCCATAACAACTTTCTGAATACAGTGAATTCTACTATATTTGAATGCCCTGTTCACTAGTAAAATTATAATAAACTAATTTATTGCTAGTCTCAGAATCAGCTGTTATCAAAGCACAACTTAGCAGACTGTATTTCAGGACAAAGGTGTCATTAAAATTTTAAAGCCATAATAGTCTTCTAATTTAATAGGGAAAAACAAACTGGAAGAAACAAACTTTGTTGATTTAAAATTTTCCAGGGCCAACAAGTGGCATGGTGGTTAAGGGCACTGGATTCCCACATGGCTGACTGAGTCAGTGTCCCTTCCCTTCCCTAGTGGCTTGCTTTCTCACTTTCCCTCTCTCTCTCCCTCTCACTCTGTCCCTCTCTGGTCAAATTAAAATAAATAAGGTTAAATAAAATAATTCTTTAAAAAAATTTTCCTGTATGATTCTTTTTATAAAGCTTTTACATCTGTTTCTTTCCTACTAGAAAGCACTGCGAAATGAAAAAAAATATATAGAAAAAAATCATTTTTAAATGAAAGATAAAATACCAACAATATTTCTTGTGAAAGGTTCTCTGTGCTGAAATACATGATTGTACTTTTGTTTTATTATACTTATATAATATAACCATATTTTCTGCAGATAAAACTCTTCCTAATGCAAACAGTACTGAAACATTCAGATGTCCTTCCACATACATGAGTTCGAGAACCACAGATTAGACTAATTTAACTAGTGTAACTGCTTTAGAATTGGTTTCCTACAAATTAATGACAGCTGGATTGCAGATATGGACACCATATTAATCTTTTAGCCATTTAACAAATAGCTATAGCTCATATTTAGTGTAAATATGTTGAAATAATGATGGCCTTTTCCTAAATTTAAACAGAAATTCTTAAGAAGGTTTACCGGCATAATTACAGGGATTACTTTGAACACTCAATAATTACTTTTAAAGTATTAATACTTTTAATGTAGTCTGTACTAAAACAAAAGAAAGAGCTAAAACAAAAAGAAAAGTTCACTTTTAACTATAAATAATTTCTGGAACTTAGTGTGGAACTAGTTATATTATAAAATGAAGACTCAAATATCATAGAAAAATGATGTCTGTGACAACTCTCAAGTGGGTCAGTAAAAAAACAATAATATGAGAGAGAATTTGTATGTGCATTTGCATGCACATGCTAGCACAAGCATGCACTCTGAGAAAAAAGAAAATGAGGGAATAAGAAAGAGAAGCAATGATGTTAACATTGAAGCATTGCATTTAACAAAGCAATGGTATCTACGTGATGTTTATGCCCAAGTTCATTCTGTACCACTGCAACATTTTTGTAAATTTAAATCTTTTTTAATGGAAAATTACAAAATATTCATAGGAAAAAAATAAGAAAGCATATAAGCTTTGGTCTTTCACACCATCTTGGGTGGACCATGAAATTTTGCTCCCTTTTTTCTTTTTTTTTTTAGAGAGACTTTTGCTATAGGGCGAATACACTTGCCAGAGAGACAGAGAGAGAGAGAAAGCGAGAATCATCCTTCCAGGGATGGCCTGCTGCAATCCCTTATCTTAGATTTTCCTCTTGGGATTTTGGGGATGCACACACACGTGCCCTGTGTGAGGTTTAAGCCACCAGGTCTGGGACTCAAACCACTATCAACTACGTGGGAGTGCAGCGATGTAACCATTAAGCCATCTGCTGATTCCATTATGCTCCCTTTTAAACTGTTGCCTTTGAACTGTCAGCAAGCAGCACAATGAGAAAGAGAGTTTCCTGGCCCGTTCTCTACCCTGTGAACCTCAGTCCAGTGCCTAGCCAGGCTGTTCCAAGTTAAAAAAAGTCGGCTTACAGTTTGAAGTGTAACAATTCTGGATAAGGCATAAGTTTTAAATACAATTTTTTGCAAATGAAAAATCTGTGCCTAGAGAGAAAATGAAAGCACATTCACATTCTATGACTTAATAAGGGTAAGTAGTAAGTGAACAGAGAAGACATCAATTTTGTACAGTTTTCTTTGTAATATGTTAATTAAATGTTATTTCTTTTCCTGGCTCAATGGTAGTTGAGCAAGCAGTAGGGATAGTGCAATGCTGGAGACTGTGGGAAGGTTCTGGGTTCATGTCCCAGGTCTGCCTCAACATGCTGGGCATATCTGAGACCCTAGCCGGCTGCAGATCTGAGGGGAGCACTACAGGGTGAGCACTCTGTCAAAGATGCTTGTCTGTCTCTCTTTCTCTCACGAGGAAAACAGTTTTTCTGGGTTTTTTTTTTTTTTTTAGGTTTTTGCCATAGGGTATATGTACTTGCCAGAGAGGAAAAGTAAGAAGCTCTCACCTCCACCCCGGGGAGAGGATGGCCATGCTGCAATCCCCTCTCCTCCAGCCTCCTCTCGGGATTTTGGGTACACGCACACATGCACTCAGTATGATTTTCAGGTTGCTGGGTCGGGGACTCAAACTGCAATTGGCTGTGTGGGAGTCCAGTGCCTTAATTACCATGCCCCAATTTTTTTTTTAATATTATTTCTTTTCCTTAAGCATTTCGATGGACTCTAGCTTGACCAATATCCATATGATAACAACACTACAGAGTCTTATTTTTACAAACTATCTGGATGTCTGGTTCATCAGGACATAGTGTAGGGACACTAACTTCTAGAACTATTCTTTCTCAGCAGTCAGACACACAGGTCCTGGGTCCAGAGGAGGAGGCACACTCGGTGACCCACCCAGTCAAGGCTGGATGGTAAGGGATGGAGGCGGGAAAGGCCAGACCTGTGCCAACAGCGAGTTCCTGACACAACTAAACCCTTGCGGTCTAGATCCAGCTCCTGCTGCTGCTGGGGCGCTGCAGGCCCTTATCAGCAGGCAGTCAAATTGGAAATCAAACTTTATACAAAACTTCCTGAAATTTTAAACTTGGCAACATCTTTTAAAAATATTGCTAACATTATCATTTCAGCAAGGTTTGTATAACCTCTGAGCACTTCTTTCTTTCTTTCTTTCTTTCTTCTTTTTAATTTCATTTTATTTTATACATTTAATCACTGTACATCATTTTGCTTATCAGGTGAATTTACCCAACATGAATACACTTCACACCAGTCCATTGAGGATACAAAATATATTACCATCAACAGATAATAACCCATTGCTGTATCCCATAAATGTCTTGCCTCTCTACTTCCCTCTTTAATTTCTTTCCTTACACTGTCTCCCTTCTCCCACCCTTTCCCCACATTGTCTCCAGAGTCTATAACCATTTTTAATGTTTTAATGTCCTCTAGTCTCCAAATACTTCTGTCCAGGCTCACCAGTTGTAACCTCTGCCTTAAAGCAGCAATTAACTTTCAAATATCCAAATTCTGGTTTAGTACTAGAAAAGAAAACACATTGATTTAATAAAATGTTTTCATCCTATTTAATATGTGAAGCTCATATTTTAATTATTTCAACCTATATCTTAACATTTAATTTTCAAATATAAGTCCACAAAAATGAATCTTTAAAACAGTCAACCTTTAAAAAAAAAAGAGAGAAAGAAAAGAAAAACTACCACCATGTGATTGAAAAATCTTTAAACCCAGTTTATACTATAACTAAAAGATAAAAAAAATTATTTTTCACCAAGTTGGATTTAGAGGAAATGTATTTTAAAAAATGGAGGTTTTGCTTTTTATCATCACAAGTATTATAAAGCACAAAAGAAAGATATAGTTCATCTAATTTGCATCCATTTTCTTTTACTACAAATACTCACCTAAGAATGCATAAACAAATTTGGCCTCCTGATGTTAGTCTGCAGAATCCAAATCTCTGTTTACTTTCAATGTCTGTCAGTGCAAAGGTAAAGTGCTGTCCAACTTGATTTTGAGACACCCTAAAATACAGTAGAACATCGTGAAACACTAAGCCTTGTATGACAAATTCCTTACAGAAAAGTACAAGCAAGGAGATATTTATACATGGAATTGGTTTCACCTTGCCAGTCAGCGGGTTCTGGAAGCTAGAACTATGCTCTACAACCAAGTGTGAAATAGGTAAACGAAATCAGGAGTCCAACATCGAAAACAGTTATAACACCTAGCAGACTAAGTGAGTCAGCATACACTAATCCCTTGCTAGGGAATCACAAAGCAGTCTACCGTAAGTTCTCATAAGGCTAAAAGTACTCATAAAATGTTCATAAATTATCAAAACGCTAACCCAGACACTGCAGAAGCAGAAAGCTAGGCAGGATGCCTCGTCCCATGCAAAACTCCAACTTATCCTAAAACTGCCTGTCAGCAAATCATGCTGCTGTGACATCTCTGGTGGCTGCCACCAACTCTCATGTAGCTACTTCTGTTGATATTCGATCCAAAAAGTGCCTTACAAAATACTCTTGGTCTTTTTTCTAGCATTGTCTTTTGGAGTTATCAATACACTTGTGATAAATTTCCAAATACAAAGAGTAAGATTTCTAAAAGAGAAAAAGAAGCTCATGGGCGAAACAACAGAGAATCCTAGCTGATTTCGAACCACAAATCACCCTGTCGTAATATGTGTGCCATGCGGTAGTGGAAGAGGCAGTACTCAGAGAAAGCACTTACTTTGAATATTTCTACTTAAAATATATGAATGCATTTCCTGGTAACTGGCTATCATCTTGCCATTAGAAAACTATAATGGAACTTGGTCTTTCTTGTTCCAAAATAAAATACCTATGACAGCTAAACTTCGGTTTTGAAGCCATAGGGACTGTGAGAAAGGGGGAAAAAGAAAATCCCTGCCAGGATACTGATAATACAGTTTTGTATTATTTGTTTGCCTTTCAGATGCTGAACATTTAACAAATCCATTTTTTAGCATACAGTTTTTCACCAACTCCTCTCAACTTCAAAGGAAAACCTCCAGTGGTCAATGTTCCCTCTAGTGCTCAAGGCTCATAACACCCTTCTGTAGCTTTCCTTCCTCTACTTGATCCTCACTATTGATCTGAAAATGCAGCTGGGGGAGGGGCATGACTGAGTCTCCATAACTGAGGTAAGAGTATCATCCATCAGCGGTATGCACAGGTATCAATTAGCCCATCCATTGGAAGGCTTTATCTCTAATATTGTAAAATTTTAGAGTCTCGCTAATCTGTACTTTAGCAAAATATTTTTCTAAAATAAATTTTCTTTTAAAAACCCCTCATGCCACACTCTTAAGAAAACTGATAATAGGGTGTGAAAATCACACAAAAAACAATAAATGACCTGTTACTGTGCTCAGAGGGCTACACAGCCCATGCAATTACGACTACATACAAGTAGTTCATTCAGGGTTTGTTCAGTAAAGTACAAACATAATGAGATTCTCAGAAATGCTAGGAGGGTTTCCCGTAGCTTTCCATAATATCGCACTATTTCTATGAAGCTATTCTTAGGAGACAACCAGCCATGAGTTTTACATCACACAGATGGTCTTTTCAATTAGGATGAAGTGAGACAGAAATCAGGATATACACATCTAATTTTAAAAGACACAATTCAAGGGCATATTAATATTTTTTTTCTGTTAGGGCTTATAATATGTGTCTGAAGAATAAAGGGACAAAATAGATCTTCTTGGTCGTAGTGCTTTAAGACTTCTCCTAACTGAACACAGCAGAGAAAACAAAAGATATAACAATTTCAAAGGCTCCTTGATTCCAAATATTATTTAACTTTAAATCTTCAGCTATTTTTTTTTTTTTTTTTTTAGGAGCAGTGAAGGTACATTTCTTTTTAATACGAAAGCACATATAACCATTTTAAAATCTGCACTAAGATAAGCTAAAAGGATCTTAAATGAGGACTTATACTGTACCTTTCAACGTCAAAGGGGAAACAGAACTTTGGCACGCTCTGTAGCACTTCCTACAAAGGCAAGGTGGGGAGAGGGAAAGCTTTAGAACATTTTGTAAAGATGCAGTTAAAACTTTGAGGCATTTTCTCTCGCTATATGTATATTAAAAAAAGAAAGTTACATTTTTTTTTGGTAAGGAAAATAGCACAGGTTCCTAGACTAAAATAATTGATTATTAAAAAGGAATTAAGTTTTGTGCTTTGGCAGATTGCAGTGACAATGCCACGGGAGCCCCAGGAGGGAAAGGCCTGGCCTGAAGGGTATTAACACCCTTCACATCCCCGCTGGGATTCCCTTCAACAAGGCCATATGGATTTTACAAGAAGCACCGCACCATATGGGTAAGCTACGTCTGGTGCTACTTGTACACAGACTAGCCATAGGGACTTCTGACAGATCCTGGCTCGAAAATATAAATGTTGTTTCAATTAAAATGCAGGCAGAGAAAAGGGAATGAAGTTGGCAGCAGAATGCATTGCTGAGAGACATAACAACTCTACATGTCCCATAGTCAAAGGATTTTTTTAAAAAAGGAAGAAATTCTATAGCTAAAGAAATACATTTCTATGTTTCAACTCTTGCTACTCAGTTTTATCTTAAAGGACACTCTTTTAAAACGTGCATGTCTTTAAATTAAAACATAGCCCCTATTTTGGGCACTTTTATTCTAAGAATTGCCTAATATGAAAATCAGTGTTTTAATTAAACATAAAAAAATAACCTGATTGATTTGGAGATCTTCCAAGAGCTTATGGTCATTTTCAAATCATTTAAAATCTTCTAGAAATCATATATGTTAACTATTATAACAAAAGCAAATGATCATCAACCATTTGTGATGGACACAGATCTGTTTTCTTATATCTGAAAAAGTAACTCAAAATTAACTCTGATTCAAAAATTAAATTTTAGAATTGAAGACAACATCATGCAAGTTCAAAGTCAGGTGATTAAAAAAAAAAACTGGAGCAGAGATTTATAAGGACATTTTCTATTAAAAAAAAAAAAAGCCAGTATATTAATACAATAGTCATCCCCCAACCAAAAAAAGAAAAAAACATCTTACCTACCACCTCTTTACCAATAAAATAAAACTTATATCCAACGAAATAATCAATAACTAAATATCTCAGACCTCTATATAAGCATTATTCTTCTGTCTTAAAGTAGAATTTCTTACACTCTTTTAAAATACAGACTGTGACAGGTATTCATAAAAAAAATAAAACATTGTAAAAAATCACTATCCCAATACCGATCCCTACGAAAACTTCAAGAGAATTCACTCACAGGAACAGAGAGAAAAACATAAAATAAAAAAGCAATCTCCTACCCTTAGAACAGGGTACCTGGGTTTGCTGATGAACATGTACTTTTAAAAGTATAAGTAGAGACTTCGTATTTAGAGAAAGATAACTATTTTACTTCTGTAACTGTTTTATTAATTAAAAAGAGTCACAAACTTAAAGTAACTTCAATTGCTTAAACTGAAATAAAACGTTCATACAAATGAGAGCAGTTCCTTTTCCCCTGACCATTGCTGAGTCTTATGCTGTCCAGAAAGGCCATCACCACGCTTAATACACATATGCGCACTATTCAGGTACCCCCTGCAAAACTGTCCACAGCATTTCGGCCACAATAAGGAACATAGACTCAAAACGCAATGTCTGCCTCTAAATACGCCCAAGTCAGTAATACATTTCACATCGATTTTAAGACTCAAATTAAGAAGGCTTCCCAGTTAGTTGCTCAATCTTTCACACCCTCCCCCCTTCTTCCACAAGCAACGCACATGCACACTTCTGCAAAACAGCCTCAGCCCGCTTCCCAACTGGCAGAAGCATCCCTCAGGGGACAAGTCTTTAAACCTCCGCACTCTTTAAAATTCAACCAGCCAGCAGGTCTATAGACTCGTGTATAAACAGTATAGACAAAAAACCCTCTCTCGGCTTATGTCAGTGACAAAGCAGCTCAGCAGTTGACTGTCTCTCCCCTGACAGTAAAAGCTGGGCTTACACAGATCAATAGCTGGAAGTCCTACCTAGCTCCCAGGGCTCGGTTTTCTTCCTTAATTACAGGTGCTATTCAAACTGAAGTTAAAGAAGAAAAGAGAGCGCATTGGAGGGAGGAATAAAATACCTGCAGCTAGCTTTTTTTTTTTTTTTTTTTTTTTTTGGATCCTATCATCAACAGTATTAATTGCAAATTGTACTTCTGCATCTACTGGGTAAGCTTTCAGAACGGCCGATGTTCCTACCACAAAGTGTTTGGATATGCCACACAGACACACACCTTTCTAGGGTGGCATCAGCAGATGATAAAAAAGGTTTACGATAAGGCTCTCCAGAAGTTATCAGTTCTCCCTTTTTCTATAAGCTTCTGTTTTTGAATAATTTTTCTTAGCCAAGAAAAATAATTTGGGCTTCATCATCCTCCTTACATTGCAAAATATTTTATTCTCATACAAAAAGAGCATATTGGCTAATACATACAAGCAATAATAACAGAAATAACAAAAGAAATGAAATGCAAAACAATGCCCACCAGAATACAAGGAAGCAATAATACATATTTCTACGTACTCCCTCCCTAAAAGTACATCTGCTATCATACTAGTGACTGGAAACAAGGCCTGCTAAAACATTACACTGTTTTGGTTTTTTTTTTTGGTCCCATATCAATCAATCTCAAATAATAAGCATTATAATGAAATCGATCTTCCAAGAGAGAAGAAAGCAAGCTGCTCGTTTCTAGAGTGGTGTCTTACCTCTTTATCCCAGGAGGTTACCATTTAGCACTACAAACTGATCAACTAAAAGGGGAAATAAGCATTTAAGAAAGAATCTAGTCTAAGAAAAACACTAAAATCGGTAAACATCCTGATGAAGTTCCATAACTACAATGATCTTCAAAATTCTCTAAGATGAAATGAGAAACTGGAAATGGTTTTTGCTCCTTCCCAATCGCATCTTCCCCTGCTCTGCACTGAACAGTGGTGCCCTCTACAGTTCCCTACGCCCCTCTCTTCTCTACTCAATAAGGCGTATCTACCTAGAACGTCGACACTTGCAGTTTCAACTATGACTACTCTGTCTCTTAGAGTCTAGGCATTTCTGTGAACTCCAGGATTATAGATCTATTTTCTGTTGTCACTTTCTGAGGCTTTCTAGATATCTCGAATTCAGAATACACAAAACAGAAGCTCTTCACTTCCTTACTGCCCTCATCTGCCCAGCACCCAAATCAAATCTGTGGTACTCATCCAGACCCCTCTTTTTCCCTGAGCCCCACAAGTAAACATTAACCAAGTTCTCATTCAGCTTCATAACTATCTTGTTCTAGAGGGTTCTCAACAGGAGGGCGGGGCTGGACAGGATTAGAAGAAAGATGAGCCGGTGTTAGAATCACTTGCTTACACAGCAAAGCCACAAGGATACCAAGTCTTTAACTTCAAGGTAACACCCTTTATTAAGAAGTAAGATTAACTGTATCAGTTTAGGGTGCTTAACCCGCATAAGAAGTAGTTACATTCTCAGTTCCAGAAGCAACGAGGGGCACTTGTTCAGGAATCCAAATTCTGTCTTCGTCAAGGACATAGGAGACTTCTCACCTGCTGAGCCTGTTGGCTTCGTCTTCTGCTATCTCCTCTCATGGTCTCCAAATGAGCTGCATGAGCTCAGCCCATCCCAGAAGGCACAGCAGTGTCCACCCTTCCTGGGAGCCTCTTTTGATCAGCTGGGAAACCCTTCCCCAAAGCCCCACTGCTGACTTTCCCCACATCTAATAGCACCAGGGTCACAAGCTACTCCTAAACGAATCTCGGACAGGGGGCACAGTTAGTTACACATGGTCCGCTTACCTTAGAGTAGGTACAGGAAAAGTCAGAATTAGTTTTACAATAACTGAAATGCAAGCAATTATAAAGAAACTTGAATGAGCTGTCAGATCTTCTTCCTTTAGAATCCTCACAACAGTACTTATCAGATAATAACTAACACTAAACTTCTCAAGAAAAACATGACACAGTATTATATGAGCACAGTTTTCAAAAAGCCATGGTCTTATCCATATGAATAATATTTTCGGAATCATTTTTCATCAATAATGGGGCTACTTGTTGATTTGAACCTAATTTTTCACAAACCTCATGAATTTGGAATATCATCTCCCCAAATAAGTGAGAATTAGCTAATATTATGCATTCATTCAATGTATTTGTGTTTTATACAAGGAAATAAAAATAGCTTATTTTTCCCCTTAAAATCATGCACTAAGCTACTTATCCAAGAACTGAGATTCTCAAACTGTTTACTGAAATAACCCAGACCACAGCACACTCACAGGGACCTGGCCAGATAGTTTACGTCTTCGAGGGAAACAGGATGCATGGTATTAAAAGCAAGAATTACACTGATACGGTAAAGTACCAACAGCCGCTTTAAGCATCATCTTCTCGCTTTCTCTCTTTTTAAGTGTCTTGAACTTGGAGAATGTATTTTAAAACTTAGAGAAACGAAATAACTATCAAATAACTGAGCCAGATGTAGAATTTTTCTTTCAGCTTTTACTTGTATGTACTTTTTCAGTTAGAAATAAATTTCTACTTTACCCTTCCTCTTTAAATTGGGAACGAATTGTAAGTCTGAATTCTGGTACTATGATTGTTTATAGCTTGTTCATTCTGAGCAAGTTAGAGTTTCACCATCAAAAGTTTCAAATGAATTTTTATTATTAGAATATTTAAATAACCTCCAGGAAGCAAACACGCCCTACTATAATATAAAAAGAAATGTGCTGGAAAAAAAGGAAAAAGAAGAAGAAACGTGCTGTGAGATATAAATCTCAAGAATTTCCACTGCGTGTTCATCAGTCTTAGGGGGTGAGATCTCTAGTCCACCCTCATTTCAGCTTGATCTAATGCTAATGAAAATTCCTAACTGGAAGAAACACAGAGAGACTTACTAAAAAAGACAAAAAAATGCGTGTTATGTGTTTACAATGAGAGAGA